TCTCATTCGGCACAAATCCAAATATTCCATAATATTTCCATATTTGCGATGTAACGTATCTGAATGCTAAACTATTATTTATTATGTAAATTATAGGCTTTGTACTTCAGTCGCGTTCCAACGGTGACACAGAAGCGGGCGCGCTGATGTTTGGTTCACTGTATTTTATTTTGATATAGTACCAACTGCGCTGTCAAGTTAGCAATGCTGGAACTGATGTGTTTTGTGTGTGTGTGTGTGTGTGTGTGTGTTTCCTTATACCAGCAGAATCAACTTTAAACACTTATTGTCTTATTAATAATGCATAACTGTATAAAGGTCTGCTTTTATTTGTGTGTACACACAATGAAAACAAAACATTGTGCTTTTGTAAAATAAAGAAAACAAACAGGATGTCGCTTTCTGCCATTTGAGTTTCCTTTCTGTGAAGAAATTAAGCCTGTCACAAAAATGAACTGAAACTCAGCGTACATAGGCTACGTTACGTGTCGCACTGTTTTTTTCCCGTGTTTATCTGTAAACTAAATCAAAATATTATATATGTACTGCAGATTATATATATTTAACATAATGTAATAATATTTAGTATTTTCACATCAGGTGGAAAAAATTTGTAATTTGTACTACTGTCTGTTCAAAATAAATGAAAAGAAACCGAGCATAGTAGATTTGTTTTTTTCCCGTTGTACCGAAATCGTATCGAACCGTGACCCCCGAACCCGAGGTATGTACCGAATAGTGACATCTGTGTACCGTTCCACCCCTAATAACAAGCAATAGGATACAATCTAGTCCAAACCATTCTTTCATTCAAGCTTCATTCAAAACTGGTTAATGTTCGCAATGAGAGAGTGAACTGCAGTGGTGTGCCTCAAGTGTCTTAAAGTGTCTCACTTTTATTGAGGCTCCAGCGTAGTGTGCCAGCTCTTTAATGTGTTGCCCTTTCTTCCCGATGAGAGCTCCTACTGCTGGAGTGGGGATGAAGAGGTACACCACTTCCTGTTCAGCAGTCTGAAACACACACAGACAGCCTTGACTCCTGCTAGTCAAGTTTAGACAGACAGACAGATAAACAGACAGATAATAGACAGACAGACGGATAGATAGATAGATAGATATATAGATAGATAGATAGATAGATGGATAGATAGAGTGCTTTTTACGATACAGATTGCTTCAGCAACTTTACAGTACACCATGAGCTTCACAAAATTTATTCAGAATTCAATTATCTATTTCAACAATAAAGCGGCTGCAGAATTTTTCCGGTAAATTAAATGATAAAATCCTGTATTGTTTATTTTTAAATTATGATACCTAATGCATTAACTAAGCTTGACAGTGACACACTGAATCTTTGAATCAAAGTTAATTTATAATTTGTAACTTTTTCCATTTTACAGTTCATTATTTGCATATAATGAAATATCTATAAATTAAAGGGTCATGAGCGGTCAAGGGGGCACTGCATTTTTTAAAATATTATTTAATAATGTTTCCTGAGGTGCATCTATAATCTTAGTATGTTTTTCCATCAAGAAATTGTATTTATGGTGATTTTCTACCCTGGATAAATGGGTAGAAAAGAATAAGTCATATAAGAATAATTCATATTTTAAAGTGGGGAGTTTTAAGCTTTAAACCTTGCATGTAAAACTTGTATATGTTTTTTTGTTGTTGTTAAACAACCTCTTATATGTCTAAATTAAAAAAAACATTTTGATTCTCCATTTCTCCTCTTTATTAATATCATTCAATGATTCTGGCAATATGCCATGTGTCAACAGGTTTATGCGAAATACATGCAGAAAAATATAATGTATTATTAAAAACCACATTTACAACATTTATATGATTTTTTTAACATTTCAGTTTTATTCTACATGATTAATTTCAAATTCGAATTATTGTTCTGCATCTGTTTGATACCACAATTCAAAATCATGAACTTAATTATTATTTAAAATAAATTTTTAATATCCTATATTTCTGATTGGCTCAGAACTCTGCAACCTAAAAAGGGGCAGATGAATGTGCTACAAAATGATTTATAATACATGGAACTGAAAAGGTTCTTATGAGCTTAAGATTGTCATGACATACAGTAGTGTGCAGATTTATGGAAAATTATTATGAGAGATGTATACTGACATACACATATAATAACAAGTACTCACTGCTTGCTGAAGAGATAATGCTCCAGAGGAGGGAACCCCATACAGACCACCCAATACTGATGGGGGGCCCTGCAGTGGCAAACATACACATGGAGGATGTGGTGAGACTAATGTAACCCAACATTTTAAAGCAAACAGATGGCTATTTAAGAGATAAAACACACTAAGATGAAAGGACAACTATCTATCACACTCCCTTTACAGATCACACATTCTTTTCTCAAATCATTGACAGCTTAAAGGGGTCATATGATGCGATATCAATTTTTCCTTTCTCTTTGAAGTGTTACAAGCTCTTGGTGCATAAAGAAGATCTGTAAAGTTGCAAAGACAGCTACTGTTTTATTATTAGTTTAAGTATTTGCTATTGACTGTTGCGGAGTTTTGCACATCGTGTGTGTGTGTGCGCGAGCGAGCGAGCGAGAGAGAGAGGGGGGGGCGGAGGTTCACATCACAAACACATACCAGCTTCATCACTGTGTCTGTCACGCGACTCTG